TTTTTTTTTTTTTTTTTTTTTTTACAGTGATCAAGTTTTTAGAATGGCTGGTAAAAAGGAAAAAAAGTTATTTAAGTAAGGGGTAAACATTTTCGGAGTCCGCTGTCCCCACAAACCCCTGAGAAGGAAGAGACGAAGGGACAGCTTTGGTCACAGTTTCCTTTGGGCTCGAGGCCAGGGGCGTGCCCGTCACCCGGGTTCCCTGGCGTCGGTTCACAGCAATCTGGCTTCCGCGCGCGGGCCGGGTTGTGGCGGAAACGGGGCGGGACGGAGAGGGCCCGGCCCCGTCTCGACTTGCTCAGTGGGTTTCTGACGTCCACTTTGAAACTTTTCATTGTAGGTGAATTTGACAGACAAGAAGATGACATTCACTTAGTGACGTTGTGTGTGACAGGTAAGTTCTGCCGTCCTTCCCCCAACAGCCGGCGCCCTCACCCTTAAAGCAAGACCTCGCGCACGAGCCCCTCAGCCACAGGAGAGCCCCCTCCGCCCTCTGCAGCCAGTGGCCCGCCCGCCCCCCAAGCCCAAGTCCCGCTCGGCCTCCGAGGACATCCCGACCCCCACCCCCTTCAGCGCGGCCCCCCTCTTTCCTTCCTCGGGATTTTCAGACGCTTCCTCTGCTCCTGGGAAGGAGCCACCCGCCACCACGCGTGGCAGGTGGCTGGTGGCCGAGCGTGTAGGGAGCCGGGAGGCGCTGACTCGGGACGCAGCACTCGTTTTGGTGGAAACCTGACGGCTCCGGTGGGACCTGGCAGGGAAACAGGAACACGGTCCCTCGCATGTCCTTTTTCCTCCCGTTGCAGTGTGGGCTCAGTTATAGAAACCTGTTGGCCTCAGTTATAGAAAATGAAAGCACCTGTTCAGTTTTTCTTAAAAATCACTCCTTAAGAAGCATTTTTCTTCGTTTCGTTAGAACTAAATGACCGGGAAGAAAATGAAAAGCACTTTCCAATCATCTACGGCATCGGTAAGTAGTGCTTTTCTCGGAGGCCCGGAGGCCGGGCCGCGCTCCCGGGGCCAGCTTGACCCTGGCTCCCTGTGCCCCACCGGGGGCCCCGGGCAAGCAGCTTGCCTTCTCTGACCGCTGCCCACAAAACAGAGACGTCCGCTCCCTACGGCCACCGGGGACGGACGAGGTGGCGGCCGGGAAGCGGGGCCGTCTGCTCGCCCTTCTCCAGCCTGTCTCCGGGGCTGGGGCCGGGCAGGGGGTCGGTCCCCTCACACAGTGGGGGGCCTGGTGGGGTCCGGCGGGGAATAAGGGTCCTGCTAAGGAGAGAGCAGGCCAAGGAAAGACCGGAGCGCCCTCCCGCCGCAGCCCCGGATCCCCGGAGGGGGAGAGCCGGTGAAACTTCCACCCGATATGCCATGGCCCGGCGGGGCGCACAGGGGGTCATCGTACTACTGCCCGTAGCCCGGCAGAGGTGCGTGGCGGGAACGTGCCCCCACCACCGCCAGACCCGGACAGCACCCCAGGCCCCGCTTCTGCCCCCGGCGCGGCCGCGGCGCTGGCCAGGGAGGGTCGCCCCGCGCCGGCCTGAAGAGCTGGCGCTTCCCGAGGGAGGAGGTCGCCCCTCGGTCGGGCCGGGGCCCCGGCGGACACGGGCTTGGCCGTAAGGTGGCGCTTTCCATCTGCACAAAGGGGAAGCCGCAGCTGCTCAGCGACAGCGGTCCAGCCATACCCCTCTTCCCCTTCTTGGGGCGACCGGCCACGTTCGGTCACCCGTGGCCGTAGACGTGGTGCGGCTGTGCCAACTTTCCACTTGTGCCTTTAGTCCATGCGGAGGACCTCTTTGTCCCCACAGCGGTCAACATTAAAACTGCAGAGATTTACAGAGCCTCCTTCCCAGACCGAGGCCCGGAGGAGGAGCTGCGTGCCGCCCGAGCTCTGACAGGAGGCCCAGTGAGTGAGACCCTCTGTGCTAAGGGGAAAAAAGGGGCGTCCCGCTCCAGAGCCTCACGTTTTATAGGCGTTAGGAACGAAACGTTTGTTTCTTGCAAGCTAGACCCCACTTCTCCGCTTTGAAGGCAGAGGTGTGAAAAAAGAGAAGGCGCATTCAGATTCCTCACTGATAGAACGTTGACATTTTCGTTGAGAGTGTGTGCGTTCACGGTGATGTTTTGCCAAACCTTTAACGTTTGTCAGATGCCTTTGCTGTTTCTCGAGCAGGGTAATAGCCTTGACTTAGCTAATATTCAGAACTTGCTTTAGTCTCAGGAACCAAAAGCCAGGGTCGCTGGTTAAGCTGAAAACTACCACTGACAAATTGGGGAATTCAGGGAATTGATTGGCAAATAAGCACTTTCCTTGCTCCTGATGGGGCAGCCGCACTGCGGGCTTTTAAGTTGCAAGGTGATTAGTTGCTGGGGCATAAGTAATGAGGAGGTGTTTTATGTGGCATTGAGGACCGTGGACTTGAGCCACACACACCTGGGTTTCTGTCCCAGCTCTCATGCTTACCAGCAATGTCGCTGTGGGCAAAGTGCCTGTCCGTTCTGAGCATCAGGTTTCCGACCAAAGTAGGAAAAATGCCGTCTTCCCAGAGGACTTTTGTCAGGACTAAACAAAAGCACGTACGTTACTCCCAAAGTACAATAGCAGACACACTGGAAGGACTCCATAAGTAGCGGCTTTGGTTATTAGACCGTTTAAAGCAGCTCATCCCTCCACGTTAATGTGGGACTGCGCTGGAGCTTGCACTAATGGTGGGGTTCGAGAAGCAGAGAACGTTCCTTGAAATGTCCTCGAAATGTTCTTTTTCAGATGATTAGTATTTACGACGCAAAGACAGAACAACTTCGTATAGGACCGTACTCCTGGATGCCATTTCCACATGTGGATTTCTGGCTGCAGCAAGATGATAAGCAAATACTAGAGGTGAGAACTTACAGGCTGGGGCGGTCTTAAATCGCCGCACCCTGGTTTCGTCATCTAGAAGAAGAAGACGGGTTTAGGCGAGAGCACAGCAGCCTTTCCTTCGGTGGGTGGGATTTACTTTTAGGATGCCTTCGGCAGACCCCATTTAACCTCTAGATCAGCCGAGAATAAGTAAGGTCCTGGCCGGGCATTTGCATGGGTCGAAGGAGTACACAGCCGACTGCTTTTTCCTCGTTAACGCAGTACACCTCCCGTCTTCCGTAACTTTACGACTTCTGTGTACGTGGTGACCTGAGACCATCCGGACTGTTTAAGAACCCGGAGACACTTCGACAGCTTTGTCAAGAGGGTAACAGAGCCAGCTTATTCCTCTCTCAGACCCAGAATCTTGTTTTTCCAGAACCTCTCCACTTCACCTCTGGCTGAGCCACCCCACTTTGTCGAACATATTAGATCTACCTTGATGTTCTTAAAAAAACACCCATCTCCAACCAACGCACTGTTTCCCGGAAACAAGGCTCTCCTCTACAAAAAAAATGAAGATGGTTTATGGGAAAAGATCCCTTCTCCAGGAAGCTAAACACGGGCATCACCAAAGGGCAACTTTTGGCCTGAGAGACACCACCATGGGGACCGTGGGGCCTGGAAAGAATATGAACCAGAATCCGCATCCGCTGAATCTTAGGTCTCCTTCCTTACTGTCCTTCAAATGACTTTAAAAATAAAATCTTATTTTCGCGAAGGCATTTGTCGAGGTGTCCTTTCTGCTTTGCCGAAGGGGACGCCCGGCCTTGCCTTTCGGCACCGAGGGCCCAGGAGGAGCCGCCTGCCGCGTGATCCTGCAAGCCGCTGTTTCAGACTTGGGGTAAGTGGTTCTCTTCCTGCTAAATTAGGGAATCAAGGGAACATTATACATAAGCTTGTTTGAAAAATGGTATTTCAAATGCAGCAGAATTCCGTGAGAACGTATCCATCTCACAGAGGGGTTTTCTGGCCCCCAAATATTTCAGTAGCATGAATTCCAACTGCTACTCCACTTCCAGGTGAAGGAGATGAAAAGCCCAGAAGGAAAACCAGAATCTCATCAGACTGTTCTGCAAAAGAAAACAATCTGAGACTCAACTTAATGTGAGAGTTACACGAAGCCATTGCGAAGTCTGCCCTAGGTGTGAGGTCATTAAAATGGCCACACCGTGATGTCTGCAGGTCAGACTTTCCGAGGCCTTTATTTCTCTGAAGTTGCTATCCTCGGGGGAATCGCTCTGCCTGATGACCATTCAGGAACTGAACCCACAGGTTAACAATTTCAAGAACCTTTATTGAAACCAACATTCAAATAGTATCTTAAGGGTGAAATTCTGTTTCAGCAAAACCAATTTAGCAATTCCAAATATATATAAAAACATTGAAAAATTAATCTTGTTAAAGGTGATAATGTCCCTTTTCCCCATTTTATCTGCTATACTTCATTGCACCAAATAAACAGGGAAGACTTTTAATCATCTGCACCGAAAAAAAAGTTGCATTTTGACAAGTGCCAAAAGTCAGAAATCACATCAAATCGGTGTCTAATTATAGGCTTAATGTGGTGTACCTAAGGCTTCCAACACGACAGTCCCCAGTCCAGTGTGAACCCCCACCGTCTTGAGGCGTCCCAAAGCTTGACTTTGCTGGACTAAAGGCTCAGGGACCTTTACCTATGAAAACGAAGAGGTGCAGGACTTCTGGAAAAGTAGAAAGAGGCAGTAATTAAGCACTCGCTTCCAGTATCTCAGCAGTGGTCTGGCTTCACCAGACCGAGGGCCCAGGTCGTCTCTGAGTTGGGCCCAAAGGGGTGAGCTGCTCGTGGGGAGAAGCCACACACACTCCCATGTAAAACAGGTCAAAGGGGGGTATACTTATTTTAGGGTTGAAACGTAACTGGGTGCTCCACAGCAGAGTTAGTATCAGGTCAAGACTCGCGTCTGTCGGCTTTTCAGATATTAAACATAGAAACGAGCACAGTGTGTATCTGTGTGCCAATTTAAAAGCTTTACCAGTATTTAAAAATATACATATATATGGCCAAGAGTTTTACAGTTACTCTTAATAGATAATCCTTTAATTTGTCTACAAATAGTATATAAAGGGAGGAATGGACTCGGGGCAGAGGGAAGTGGCTTGCCCACGGCCCTGCCCCAGCCAGAGTGCACGGTCCTTTCTACACCTCGGAAGCAGCGGCGGGGGCGGCTCGGGCTCAGGTCGGCATCGCGCCGAACCCGAGCCCGCCGTACCCCGCGGCCTGCCCACACTGAACGCTGACCCAAACAGATGGCGGAGACTGCGCTGCCTCTCTGGTGCAGCAGCACAACAGAGGACCCGGAAGGTTCTAGAGCTGACTTAACGAAAAGTTGTATGTAACCTCGTCACGGCTTACGCTTAGGTTTTAGAAAAATAAGCGCAAGCGTTTCAAGTGGCGGGCACTTGGAATTCTAAGTGTTCTTCGTGAACAACGAGTGTTTATGGGAACGTGGGGGAGAAATGGGACCACCTACAAGGACGTGGGCAGGAACCCCAGCTGTCATGCTACAGACCCATCCAATGAGACCCATCAACTGCCCGTCTAAAAAGCCTGGCTTTCAGGCACAGATTTGTGCAAAAATCCCAGCGAAGGACAAACAACAGTCATTTCTCTTGCGTTAGCTGTGGCACGGCTCACATTTTCAGTACAGCTTCATCTTCCCTGGAACAACACCCGGTACAGTCTCAAAGCAAACACTGGATTTTATCTTAAGCTCTCCGGTTCTTCTACCTGTGGACGGTCATCTTCCGGGCGCTGGGCCCCGTTCTGGAAGGCCCCCGTCCGCTCGGCCTCCTGCGGAGGGGGAGCCCCAGGGTGTCGCTCGGGGCCGCTAGGCTCCAGGCCATCTGGCTCCGGCGCCCCGGACAGATGCTCCAGCTTTTCTAAGTCTTCAACGTGACTGACTGAGCTGGTCTCGCTCAGAGCATCGGAACCTCTCAGAGACCTCTTAAAAGGCTTCTGGCCTAGAGAAAGATGCACGGACAGTGCTGAAAGCCCTCCGTCCAACAAGTGGTTGCTTTATTTAATCGCAACTGCTTCCGGAGACACCCCCGCGCCCCCCAGCTCTGAGGCTCCAAAGTGATGAGGTGAGAAATGAGAACCGACAGGACACCGACACGGCTCCCAAGGTCATGGTCAGGAGAAGTTCAGGCGAGTAAACACCAGGTTAAACACGATGCCAGTTCTCAAGACCCGAACTTCCCCCTTGGGCTGCCACGGAGAAAGTTCTCCCAGGCTGAAGCCCCAGGCTACTGAAATGGTTACAGGGACGGCTGGTCCTCAGTGAGGAGGAACAGGACATGGGGTCAAAGCACCAAGAAAACGCAGGAACACAGCTAACACCCAACAGGACAAGCCTCCCAAGACGCAAGGGTCTGTGTTCCCAAGAGAACCAACGGTTCTCTTCAGCCTTAATCAACTCAGAAGACGCGCTGTACCTGGAAGTCTCTGCTTGGCGCGAGTGCCCGAGGGCGTCTGCGGCGGCGTGACCCCCGCGCCTTGCGCCTTGTAGACGTACGTGTGTTCCGTGGACTCCAGGGAGCCTGCGAGGAAGGGGAGAGAGCGGTGTGCAGAGGCCCCCGGCTCCGGCCGCCCTGAGAGCCGAACCCCCGCAGCCTCGTTCCCCGAGAAAGTTGCTCTGGCCGTTGGGCCTCGCAGGTGGGCAGGGCAGAGCCCCCGGCCGTCGGAAGCGCGCCGCGAAGCTGAGAAAGCCGACCTCGCGGCCGCGCTCGCGAGGCCCAGCCCTGCGGGCCCGTTTCACCCTCACGTCCCCAGGTGTCCTGGGCACACTCAGCTCCGGCGTGGCCCACGCGTGCCTGGGGACCACGCCCCGGTGGGAACGGTACTGTAGCAGCAGGGACCAGGCGGCCCTTGGCTGACGGCAGGCACTCGGAGCGACACGGATCCTCTGTCACACTCACGTGTGCTCACGGTTTCCCGGGGGGGGGGAGGGGGCACGTGCAGGGAACTGTCCCCCCCCCAACACAGGGAAGAAGGGGACCTGGAGGCGCACGTCACCGTCCCCAAACCCCAGCAACCAGTCCTCCTTGCGGGGTGCCTGGTTCGAAATGAGCTGGTCCAGGGCTACAGACTGGACTACAATCTTGTCACCTCCCGTTTCCACAGCAGCCTCTTCCTGGGGCAAAGCACTCACGGGGACGGCAGGGAGTACTGACACCCAACACCGAACACGACGCCAGGGGCACTGGAGAGTCCCGACAGCTGAGTGGCCACGTTCAGACCGGCCCGCAGGAAGGGGGGTCTGCCGCGGATGGGGGGCAGGGCGGGAGGTGGGGGGGGACCTGCTTCCGTGCTGCTGCGGCTGCTGCGGCGGAAGAGGGCAGACCCACCAGGCCTCCCGAGACAGACGCGGCCCCGGAGGAGCAGGAGCCGCGCGCGCGCGCACCAGGCTTCCTGGCTTGGGCGGGGGATCCCGGGAAGGACTCACAAGGTCAACGGGACCCGGGGCGGCGGCGGTCCTACCTGCCGTTAAATTGAAGGTTCTTCCCTTCTGTGAAGCTTGTACCGGAGAAAACCAATTGAGTACGGATCCCACGACAGGGATCTGCCGCAGCACCCCCTGCAGAGCAGAACCACCGCTCGTGAGCGTCCCGCCGGCCCGCTCCCGGCCTGACGCCCCCGACGCCCCCTGCGAGTCTGCTGCCCAGCCTCACCTCTTCCAGCAGCCGCTCCTCGTTTGCCTTCTGCAGCTGAACCTGAGCTTCCTGAATCCCTTTCCGAACCACCTCCGTCATGTTTTCCAGAAGCTGTGGTAGGACCGAGAAAGGGATTACTTGTCTAAGCTTCCTGCCCGGGACCTAGAAGAACTATTAACACAGCACCGGGGACGGTTTTCAAAACTGTTAGTAAACGGAATTCTACACTTCTGGATGCCAGGGTACGAAGTAAAACCGGCGAGCAAACACAAGAGGACAAAATGCCCCGCTAAGGAGGAGACACCTTGGTGACCGGCCCCATCTGCCAGGAAAAGGAGGAGAGAAACCACCTGCCCGATGATCTCAATGTCACATCCACAGAAAAGAGACACACGCGTCACAGTCATGGAAATGGGATCAGAAGTGACACAGCGGGTTGGGAGAAACTTCAGGAAGCCCACCCAACGATAAAGCCGGCTCCTCGGCCTCATGGCAGACTTCCCGCTCTCCCCCTCCCTAGCAGCCACGGGCCACCACGCGTGCCTGTCTCCTCAGACCCATCCCGCTGTCGTCCCTCCTCTGCTCCTGAGTGATTCCTAGTGACTCACATGTCCGGTCTGCAGAACATCCACCAGCTAGGTCTCCATGCCTGCTGGCCAGCAGAAGCAGGTCTATCCCTGGCGGGAAGTCCTGTCATCCAAAACACGTGCCTCACGCAGCCCAGGGTCCAGCTGCGACTGCAGTCTTCCCTCACCTCGTCAGGCAGATGCCACTGCGTCTTCCCCAAATGCTCAGCTACGCCTAACTTCTCCACGGCATTCTCCACCCTACTTGGCTACATGGACCTCTTCCCCCGAGCCACGAGCCCACTGAGGGCAGGGACTGCATCAAATGCTCGGGGGGTTCTGGATTCCGGGTACAATGCTTGGCTCATTGGAACCATTTCTGCACTTTTTGGGAACGAACACGTATTTCTGAGGGTAGCTTCCTCCTTCGTGACCCCAGCTGGCTGCCCAGAGAAGACCCAGGAGAGGAACGAGGCACAGATTAGTCTTACAGACCCTTGAGTTTTCCTCGATTTCTCGGGCTGTGACCGCAATGGTCTCCACCAGTTCAGAAATGTCCACGTCGTCGCTTGCCATCCCAACGTAAATACAGCTCTTCATGCTTTTGTACTCCGGGCCTGTGGGAAGAGACCACCGCCTGCCTTGGCTCCCAAGTCCTCGGTCAGAAGGCTGCCTGGGGCCACTCTCCTGTACAATGGCATGACCGCGCACAAAGGCACCTCCCTTACGGGGTGAGGACAAGGATACTAATGAGGACGTGGGTGCCCCAAGAGGCTGCAGAAGGGGAAGAGAGCTAGCTCACTCTAGAAAGAACTCAACTATCATTTCTTCCGAGGAAACAGAGCCCAACGGCCTTTAAGCCAGTTAGGAGACAGCCTTTGGAAGTTCATAGTGGACTTATAAAAGTAGTAGTTACCCATTTTAAATGTAAGGTCGGATTCCAGTTCATTTAACTTTTTCAGGAGTCCAGCATGGATTTTTTCCCCTTCCGGATCTAATTTCAAACTGCTCTTATCATCATTAGCATGTTCATACCTACAAACAATATCAAATAACAGTATTTCAGTCTAAAAGATCAAATGCCTCTTCAGACACAGGATTGCAGGTAGAGTATAAGCTACTGAAGTTTTCCAAGGTGAGTGAGACAAATGGGCACAGGAGCCACTCGGAGCGTCTCAAGGCAAGGAAGGTACAAGTCTCCGGTCCACGAAGCTCAGGCCAGATCTGGAAGCCTCATCGTTTGTAATCGAATCACGGAGTCTTACGGCCCCTGGGTGGCTGTCGGTTGAGCACCTGACTCTTTTGATTTTGGCTCCGGTCACGATGCCAGGGTCAGGGGACTGAGCCCTACGTCGGGCTCTGCACTGAGCGTGGAGCCTGCTTAAGATTCATTCTCTCTTTCTCTCTCTCTGCCCTTCTCCCCTACTTGTGCTAGCTTGCTAGCTCTCTTAAAAGAAAAAAAAAAAAAAA